CATACCATATAAATGCTGAGAGTCATGGTGGTATGCTGAAAAATCACACCCAGTTCAAGTGGTGAATTCTTTATCCTTGAATCCTATTATCACACTAAACTTAAATGAATTTCAGACCAGAGGGAAACTGTAGGTCACACTTGTAGTAGATATAAAGGATGCATGAAGAGAAATAACAAATTCAGCACCTGGAAGTCTACATCATCAATGGAGATAAACAAGATGAAAAGTTCAGCACTACATTAAAATTTCAAAACCTTGGTAGAGCAACCTACAGGTATGCAAAATTAACTGTTCAACCATGGAAATACAAACAAAAACAAGGTTAAGATAACGAAGGGGAGAGAATCTCTCTTTATTCACTCCCCTCTACAAAGTCTCCAGCCTATTTTTGCCAGCTTAGAGTACCCTCCCCAGTGGTTCCTCTTTACAACTGTATCCACCAGCCACCCACCACTTCTCTCTTGCTCTCTCTTCGTTGCCTCTTTTCTACCACCAACCATCCCCAGTAGGGTTCATGATAAACATACACTCATGAGAGTCTTGTTTGTCTTCTTCAGACTGTCACTACAAAGTCAAACTCTAATCCCCTGGACTTGCATTTGAAATGAACTCTCCTCATCCATTTCCCTGGACTCCCTCCCTTGAAAAAAAATTCTATCTTGTTCGCCTTTCTACCGCCAGCACTTCCCCATCTGAAAACATTGGGGACCTAGGTGAACAAATTCCTATAGGCTACCTCATTATCCTATATCCTTCCCCTCTATCCCCCCTCTTCCTCTCCATCCTAACCCTCTCTTTTTTCGCATACCTCCTCTTGTACATGGTACACTACAGTGTTACCTTTCCTTCAAGTGTTTCTATCAATCTCATGTTCCTCCTTACCCTCAATCATTTGCTATTCTTGACTCTTGTTTTAAGTTTATGGTCAGTTCTATACCCATGGGCCATGTTTTCCTACCCACGAATGAAACACCTAAAAGTTTTCAGAAATCGATCCACGACCCATTCAAGCATTTTCTTCCTTCTTTCGGCGATGGCTAATGGTTGAGCATTTTCCACTACCACGACACTTGTTCCCCCAAAAGCATTTCACATGGTCTCAAGTAATCTCCCAAAGCATGATGTAATTGATTTAGTGTTGTTGTGAAACAATTTGGCACATTTTTGAGTGAAGCAGATCATTTAGTATTTTACACGTTTTTGGGGACCCATTCAAGCATTTTCTTCCTTATAGCATTTTAATTATATATGTCATCTACAAATCTAGAAAATAGACAAATGTGCCTATTTTGTATCCTAATAGAAATTCAATCATCAAATCTGCCCCAGAAATCCAAAGTTTGCCTAATGGTGTATCATCTATACATTTAATGTAGTAGCTTACATAACCAGCATACCCCTTCAGGAAAAGGTATATATGGAAAAATATAAGCTGATGCACTTTCCTTTTTACTGATAAGTTAACCAGAAAGAGAAATGGGAGGGAGAACAACTATGTTCAACTAACACAAAGGTCAGCGAACATAAATGGAAAAGAGAAAAGGCCGAATGAAAGAGAAGAAATCATCAAATAAGAAACAGGTGTAGCTAAAAGCACAAATACTTGGCCAAAGCTAAGTTTCGATTAACATCTACCAAGATTTTACACTGTTACCACTTACCCCAACTTGTTTGAGATAGGGACGTAGTAATTATTGCTTGTAACCCCAATCTCAATCATTTCATTCACTCCAACAAAGCCCATAAAATGAAATAGAGGCTCAACTAATCAAAGATTCATCAGTCCATTCCCAGCTTCCTACAGCAGCAACAACAACCATATACCCAGGCTAGTCCCACAAAGTGAGGTTTTGGGAGGGTAGAGACTAGAGTGTACACACACCATACCCCTACCCAGTGTTATGAAAGGCGCTCGCCTCTCGCTTCTCGCCAAAGGTAATGTGGCGACAAGGCGTTGCCTTTTTATTTGTTTTTTTTAAAAAAAATCCGATTTAATAATTAAAAGGCAATATTAGGGTTTATTTCGTGTTTTTGCAAACCTAGAACTTCTTCTCTCCATCGCGACCCTCTCTTCTCCAGTTCTCCTCCCTCACTACTTCGCGACTATCTTCTCCAGTAAAAACAGACGATGTTTTTTACTCTGTTTTTTTTATTTTGAAGCTACTGCTAACTGACTGCATTACTGCAATCTGCCTACATTTTTTAAAAAAAAAAATTCAATCCTTCTACATTTATTTTCTACCCTACTCAATTTAGTTTTATACTAAATAATATTGTATTAGATAATATATATTATTGCTATTGAGATTTTGTATATTTATATATGCAATTAAATATTTAAAGTTTTTGGTATTAATTGGCGCCTCAATTCAAAAAGGCAAGTGCCTCGCCGGCAGACCCTTGTCGCCTTTCGCCGTCCAAAACACTGCCCCTACCTAGAGGTAGATAGGACGTTTCCGATAAACCCTCTGCTCAAGGAAAAAATAGTCCAAAGCAGTCCCGCTTTCACTCTGATCGCATCATTTAAAAAAACAGAATTCACAACCCAAAGCAAATAGAATCCCAGTTTCCTACAGCAATCGATCAAAATACTTCCATATAGCATTACTTACAACTAGCTTAGGTGATCAAAACAAACTACACATCGCGTAGTCCTTAATAGATAACGAAGTCACAACCTTTGTTTCAACCAGCATCATATTAACTAAATGCCGCATTTTGATTTGTTGAATACAGTTCACAGTCTCATCTCACAAACTAATTCTTCTTTCATTAAGCTGAGCAAATGAAATACACATTGTAGTTTGTAAGTATTAAGATATACCTGTGGCTTTATCCGATGCATCGTGATAAAGGGAATCCTCCTCAGGCACCGGATGAAGCACCTCATTCGCCTTTGCTACTTTTTTAGCTGAGCCATCATTACCCAAACTATCATCATCATCAGGAACACCATCTTTATCATCAGGATATCTCACCACAATAACAGGGCAAACACAATGACGCACACAATAATCACTGACACTCCCAAGCCTTCCTTCTGTGCTTCGCCTCGATGCCCCAAACCCTCGACTACCCATGATCACAGCACTCAACCCCAACCTCTCAATTTCCAAACATAGCCTCTCCTTCATATCATGATCCTTCACAATACGAATCTTGAACGGAATGTTGGCATCAACAAGCGGCTGCGCTAAGTCATTAGATTTCGTACTTGTAAAGTTGTCGAAATCTTCTTCCAGTTTCTGCTTCGATTTCTCATCCGCTGTGTCAATAGAGACGTCTACAGCGCCCCAATCAGCTCCGTAGAGGACGGATGTAGGGCGTACGTGGAGGAGAATGACGGCGTCACCTGGACGGAGGTAATTCTCTACTGCCCATTTCACGGCGTAAGCGCTTTCGTCACTGAGATCGACGGCGATTGCAATCTTCCGATTAGCACCGGATGTAGGTGTTCCCGGCGGGAAGCGAGGGGAAGCCGGTTGGTGCATGATGGCTGTCGGTGGTCGGTCGGATTCTGTTGGTGGCTTCTTCGGTGATGCCATGCCCGGAAAGTGTACGACGAAATGTGTGAAAGAAAATGTGGAATTTGACGCAGCCTATCGTGTTAAAAGGTTACAACTTCATATTCTTTCCCTGTGGATTTAGGTGACACTTTTTTAAAAAAAATTCCTATTCGATTTTCGATAATTGAGAGTTTTACTAATTTAGATTCATATTACGTGGAGCTTATTGGGAGAAAATATTTTCTAATAAAATAATTATATATTTGAGATTTGAATACAAAACCTCTGATTAAAGTAAAAAATAGTTTCATCCAATGAACGATATTTAATGTTGATTACCTTACATCTTTGATCATACATGAAATTTAAGAGATAGAGATTAAGAAAAAAATTGTTATGTTAATCAAATCGATGATAAGTGATACTTCCTCTGTCACTTTTAATTGTCATATTACGTTTTTCGAAATTCAATTTGACTAATTTTCAAAATGAAATTAGATTACATTAATTCGATATATTAAACAAAAGATTTGAATATTCAAAAACTATACAAAAAATACTATAAATTGCAATTTTTTGCATATTAATATGATAAAAAAATATATCGTAAAATATTAGTCAAAGTACTTATCATTTGACTCTAAAGAAGAAAACCATAACAATTAAAAGTAGACGGAAATAGTACCCAATAAGGATAAAATAGGAATGATACCATTAAATTATGAGAGTTGTATATATGATCGAATTCGAACTAGTGACATTATTTTATTGTATGTTTTGGATTTGAAATTATTTTTTAACATCTAAGACTTCACATCAATCTATATTGGCATAATGACAATAGAGTCATATTAATAAAATTATTTTTTTAAAAGGACGTGTAAAATTTAAAATGAACAAGTAAAAGTAATGATGAAGTATTATTATTTTAATTATATATCTATTGAAATTAAAATTGACAAAAATTCAAGTGAAAGACGCTTATCTTCAACGTTTCATCTCTCTTAGCCCTGCCTTCTCTCCCATTTAAACACTCCTCCATTTAGTAGCAGCAAATCAATTAATTTAGATTTGTGTCATATTTGATTTATTAAGAGAAAAGTATTCTCTTTGTGATTCATGTTTCTTGACGTAGAAAAGAGAATATATGTAACTTTTCAAAATGGCGAAGTTAGTTCTTCTATTTCTGTTTGTTTGTATCTTTTTTTATTTGACACACTTTTAAAAAGTAAAAAAGAAAATCAATCTTACGATCTTAAATCAAAAATTATGTTAAATATACCAAAATGACGACTAATCTTTAAATGGAGGGAGTTCAATTTTCCTCTAATTTTGTTCTCCACAATTGTTCCATTCTACGCTACCATCACATTTTTTAGTAAACACCAACAACATGGAATAGAAGTTGAGAACATACAATTTTACTACGCAAGCAATGTAATGTAGGGTTAAGGTTAAATCCACAGTGCACCAATTGTCATCCCTAATTCTTTAGTAGTGTTGAACCTGAGAGATATAAAACGTTTGATTATTCCGAAAATCGTTCAATCTTCGCTTCTTGCTATTGTTCATATCTGCATTCTCACTTGTACGTTCTTGGTCAAGCACACTGTTTGGTGTCAACGAGCTAAAAGAAACAACTTCATCGACAGAAATTTCCCGCATTACACTCCAACAATTCAAAACTTCCTCCTACATAAATGACCGCCCATTAAAATAAAAAAAAATACAAATCAGATATATAATACATGTATAATTTATTGGCTGACGATTATAAATATCTTTCATCGAGCAGTCAAATATGCAATTTATAATCATAAAATATATACGACTTAAATTTCGAATTTTTTTAGACAAATACCGACAAGAATCTTACTTTATAAATGTGTCCGCATTTAGAGTTAATTGCATCTAAGAAAAATGGAACTTGTTGGGGAATCAATTCGTGAGCTGCACACAGAAACGCCGATGCCGCTAATACTGATGGTTTGTACTCAAGAAGCTTAATTTCTGCAATTAAGCACAAGATTAACGTTTTATTAAACAAAAATAAATAAATTAAAGATAAAAATAATTAATTACTGCTATTATTCAAAAATCAAACAGAGATTTTACAATGCTGTAATTAAGCACGAGATTAACGTTATTAAATATCAATTACTTATTGAAACACGCATCAATTATCACATGGATCAAAATTTTATAGGCAAATTAATGAATCAGCGGGCATGTGAACGAAATTTTATGGACAAATTAAGTTGCCGACGATTATCGCAAATACGTACCGTAATGAGAGCTGAAGATGATATCTGAAGCTCGATTTTCGAGAGATTGACTCGGTGACTGGTCATTACTGAGTTCAAACAACGAATTGAAAAATTGCAGAAACGCAAAAGGCGTGATGGAACGTAACCGCCAATTGAGCGTTGTGAGAATCAAATTCTCCATTCGATGAACTGATTGCAAATCGAAAATTAAGCCTTCATCGTCTCTCTGTTCAGATTGATTCATCGATGAATTATTGGATATTGGAATTATGATATGAGAGATCGATAAGTTGTTGATGTTCCTCATTTTCGCAGCAAGTGAAAGGCTAGCAGCTACGAGAATCCGTACAATCCATGGCTTATTCTCCTGCAGAGGAGCAAAAATTTCCATCAGATCTTCAACAATTTCATACCGGAATTCACATTTTTTGAAGTTCACACTGTTTCAGGTTCTTCATATAATTAAAATTTCCATAAGATCTTCAACTATTTCATCGCGAAGTTCTGATCTGATATTTCTCTTTACAGCATATAAATATGCAGACATTGTTACAGATTCTTCATATAAGTAAAATTTCCATAAGATCTCAACTAATTTCAACGTGAAATTCACTTTAGTTTCTCTTTACAGCATATACATATGCATACATTGTTTCAGATTCTTCATTTGCCTATGTTTAATGCGATTGACTGATGAGATAAATTACCAGAACAACTTGCTTGGTTAGGAACCGATCGATGTAATTGACAGCTAGATATGCAGTAAATCGATCGATATCATAAGAAAACTGCGCCTGCAGAACAAAAAAAAAACAGAAAAACTAAGAACATAGTGAATTAAACAAAATTGAATCAGCACAAATTAGTTAAGTATTTTGAACAGTATTTTTACTTGAGAAATGAGAGTGAAGCAGTGATTGCGAATGGAAGAGTGAACGTCGGTAGATTTGAAGGACGGCATGTGATCGGACTCGGCGGCGAAGAGAGCTGAAACGTCGTTGTTGTCGTCGTGTCCATCGAAGGCCGTTAATGGATTCTCGAGATCGAACTTCATGAATGAAACTATGAAAGAACAAAAAAAGTTAAGTTTCTGAAAGTATGAAAAACCAGAGCAAAGCAGAGCTTCGCCATGAGGCCTCCTTATTTATACCCACATGAAATAGAGCTGGAGTCGGGTTCTAATCCCTTCCATGAAAAATTACATTATTAAAATTATTTTTTGCTTCGATTATTTAGTGTGTTTAATTTTTAAAAAACTTTATTAGTGAAAATTTTAACTCTATTAAAATCTTGAATTCCTTAGGCCACGTTTGTCCTACTCTACGAAGTTACTTACAACTAATATAGCTCAGGGTACAATTGGGACGGAGCTAGAGGGCAAAATAGATTCTGTTTCATTTGAATTTCATTCGTCAAAAATAATGAGGCCACCTTGGTAACCTTCTTCCTTTTGTTCCTATATTAGTATATTAGTATAAGCTAAGACGGTTCGCTTGAGTTGCTCAACTGCCCCTTAGCATGGTGCTCATGATATGTTATGGAATCTTCATCGTACCGGGAGAGGAGACCAAGTAAGACATAGCTAATAACAAAGAAACCAACGCAACATTAGTGGCTAACGCATTAAGTTTTCACTATGCTAAGAATAGGGGTGTACAAGTCAAACCGAACCGATAAATCAAATCAAACCGAAAAGTAAAAAAGTCAAACCGAACCCAAACCAAACCGACATAATATATATAGTTTTATTTTATTTATAGATAAAAAATATTATTTATAATCTACTTTGTTAATATATTCTTAGTTAGTTTATAGTTTTCAATGTTTATCTATTTTATTTCAAATTTGAGCTTGTAAAATTTTGTAAATATTATATATATAATTTTATTTTATTTATAGATAAAAAATAGGGAAAAAGGACAAATATACCCCCCGAACTATCGTAAATGATATGCAGATACCTCTGTCATATTTTTAGGACATTGATGCGCCTGTCATCTAAATATTAGAGCAAATATACCCTTTATACTAACGAACATACACGTGTCATAATCTTATCCATCGACCCGACATTTATTATATATCGGATCGACGGATATGTCCCTATTTAGTCTTTCGTTAGAGTGAAGGGTATATATTCTCTAGTTTTTGGACGGCAGGGACACTAATGTATCAAAAGTATAACAGAGGGTATCTGCATACCATTTACGATAGTATAGGGGTATATTTGTATTTTTTCCTAAAAAATATTATTTATAATCTACTTTATTAATATAGTTTTAGTTAGTTTATAGTTTTCAATGTTTATATATTTTATTTCAAATTTGGGCTTGTAAAATTTGTAAATATTTTATTTTGTATTAAGATCTGAAGTTACAATTATATTGTTATAGCTTTTCAAATTCGAAGTTAACAATTTACTTTGTAAATATTTAATTTTGTATTCAGTTTGACTATATCCTTTAATCTTATTAATTTAACATAATAAATGTTGATATTTCAAAAAAAAAAATTGTACTCATGTGAATTTTACCGTCTTTACGAAAATTTCTATTCATTTAACATTTCTTAAGTGTAGCTTATCACACAGATAAGTGAAAATATATTTGATCTCTTTTTCAAACACCGTATAGTTGTAAAAAAATTGAAAAACCGAAAAAATCGACTAAAACCGACTTTGCATGGTTTAATTTAATTTTTAGATTTAATAAACCAACATAATTGGTTTATATTTTTTTTAATGAAAAACCAAACCAAACCAGCCTAGTACACCCCTAGCTAAGAGGTCAAAAAACAACATAACCATATAAGATTGACTATATGCAGTTTTATCCTATATTTCTGCACAAAGTTATTTTCAAAGTTGGAACTGATGACTATGCCACTCTTTGATTATTCTAAATACACTTGAACCCAAATTTAAAGGATATACCCCTTTGATGTTAATTAATTTTTACACAAAAAAAAAACTTACGCTCAACATATTGCATCAAAATTATTTTAGGTACATCTTCATTTCTAATTAAAATTAAATTTAAAAAAAAAAACACTAAAGGCCATTCACATGATTCTTGGAGAGTGGGACAGTCATTCATGGATGGAAGAAAGTCCTATTCTCTTGGAGCTATGTGACCCCAATGAAATAGATGAGTCATAATGACTTTTCCAATTTTTCATTCGCGATTCGATATTTGTTTTAAAAAATTAGATTAATTTTAAATTTGTAATGGAAAGTTTTATTTTGAAGGTAAAGTGCTCCTATACAAGTCGTATATACTCAAATGTTAAATTTTAGGTCTTTAAAATGAAAAATACTTATTACTTTATCGTAATCTTCGATGGTATTCATGGAATAGTTTTTTTTATTTTTTATTTTATATATATCTGTGTGACAAACGTGAGTACAATTAATATTTGAACTTGGGAATTACAGTATACAGAAAGGCAGACAGTTTAGGATCCCTACATGTTATCGTGTCCTATATAGGAAATTTCTCATGTCAAAATCTGCATTTATATCACCAATGACCTGTTATAATCATATGAATTATATATATATAGAGTATATATATAGATACTTGTTTTTTTGGATTTTTCATGTGAAATCTGACATTCGCATTGTCAAAATCTGCATTTATATCACCAATGACCTGTTATAATCATATGAATTATATATATATATATGTTTTTTTGATTCTTCAAGTGAAATATGATATTCGCATTTTAGTTCGATTAAGTCAAATTTGTGTGTGGTTCATTCGGACCCCCCCTCCCCCCTTGTCTAGAATCTAGTAATGTTAAAATATTTTTAAAAAATTGAGAAAATTATATTTAATTTAGTTGATTTTTAAATATTAAAATCAAACCAAATAGAATATATATTTATCGATTTGGTTGTGATCGATTTCGGTTCGATTTGATTCAGCTATTCATTCAAAAAGGAAAAGATAACAATAATTCATTCAAAAAGATAAATAGTTAGAACGACTAGCATTACAAAAATTATGATTCGTGATAGTCTCACCAAGATTTGTCATACGAACCCATATGGATATAACCAGCAAGATAAATGCTCTCCTCGAAGACTTTTTTGCTTACATAAACAAATTTTGATGAAAATATACAAAAGATATTTAAAATTGTTCTTAAAATATAATATTTTATATATGTATAATTATAAGAAAAATATGTATATATAATTTGTTTGTTTGATTTGTTCGATTATTTCTTCAGATTTTTTTAGTAAAATTAAAATCAAATCAAATATCGATTTTAAAAAATGTAAAATCAAACTAAATCCAAATAAAATAATTTGATGTTCGAACTTTAGTAATTGTAAAGATTAGAAAAATGAAATATAGAATGTAAAAATATTTTTAATGGTATAAAGCTTTTCAAATATATTTTTTAATATTACACAAAAATATAAAAATATTTTTGGACTAAGTTAACTGAACAAAATCTTACAACATGAGTATATTATATCTTACTAGTCCTTCTAGGACCATTGATCTGTCACTTATCATAAAACATAATGATGAAGAGGCTGTTGATCTAGCTAGTAGAGCTCAACTCAACAATCATGAATGGATCTAAAGTTTGTTTCATAATATTATTTTATCTAAAAAATATTATTTAATACCTATAGATATCAATGTATTTATAATGTATAAATATAAAATTAAATAGCATAACTGGATGAACCTTGCTCTTGTAGGCTGATGATTTTGACACCACTCTACATACATATAGATTGTTTGTTTGAAATCTATCACATCTACATATTTTATGTAATTTTTTTAATTGTCGGCTAAAAAAAGAAAATGATATAGTCTTGACTCGAACACAGATCATATAATAGCGCTCAATTCTATTTAGATCCACCTTTATATACGATTTAATTTTTTCATAAAGGATATTCAATTAACCACCTTCACGCACGAATTGAAATAGCCTAAAAAGTTTAGTAGCAGCTGCTTCAATTCATTCATACGCATGATGCAAGTTGTCTATAAAAAGATTAATGTATACTTTTTTTGTATCATATTTGTTCCTTTTTCTTTCTTTCTTTCTTTCTTTCTTTTTCTTTTCTTTTTTTCCTGTCTATAAAAGAATGATACTGTTATAAAAATTTATTGATTCTTGTGAAAGTAGAAATTAAAGTTCAAAATGACTTTGTCAAGTAACACATGTTTACTTGTTGAGTACAATTTTCACATTAATAAACAATTTGTTTTAATTAAGAGTTAATTAATTAACTTGATCAATTATACTATGCTAAAGTACTATAGTTCTTTATAATTATACAATGTGGTGAGCACTATCTAATGTTTAAACAACTCCATGTGAATAAACTTATTGCAAGATTTCTACACCCGTAATAAAAGATTTCAAATCTGAATCCTCATAATGTATATTGCGAGCGGGACTATGTCTCCCTTTAATGAGTAATATGTAGAATTTAAATTAATCAGATCAATAAATTTCGAATACTCGATAATTTTTAAATTTTTTTTAATGTGCTTCACAAATTTGTATGTGGTCAAGGATAAGAGGACAAGACAGTGGTGAATTTCTTTGCCTTCACGCTTTCACCCTATGAAGATAGCACCATCATGATATCTTTTTTTACTTTTCTCACTTTTCTCACTTTTATTTCACTCTTATTTTTATTTTATATTCAACTTTATTTTTATGTATAATGGCCAGTCATGGGGATTGAAAGTTTGCTTCTAAATATTTTCTGTCTCAATTTATTATGCGATGTTATTTAACGGGATAGGAAATTAGAAAATGAAAGATTAACGACTTTTAAAATTTATGATATATTGTTATCATTTATTATATTGTTATTCTTTCGTTCCTTTTTTCTTGTCGTAATTTTCTTTTTGATAGTCAAAGAATATGAACTTTGATCAATATTTTAATATATATTTTTTATGAGCAAATTACAATTTATAGTATTTTTTATATGATTTTTTAATAATAAAATTTTAAGTTTAAAATATCAAATTAAAGTACTCAAATTTAACTTTCAGTGTTAATTTTGATTAAGCAATATATTGGGGTTTTTTT